GCCTATTGGGGCAGGGCTGCAGGCAATAGAGTTAGACACGGGCACCTCCTCAACACACAGGAGGCAGGATCACATGTCAGCGATGACGCTGCTCGCAGGGCCCAGGGAATGCGGAGCTTGGCATTGAGGTTGGAAGCAGAGCCCGAGCACCAGCGTTGACTCCTGGCGCTGCCATCTAGTAGCTGTGGGACCTTACGTTTCTTCACCTCTCTGTGCCACAGTTTCACCTGTAAAATCGGGTAATGATGGTCTACACCCCAAATGATTTTAGAGAATTATGTGGGTTAATTTTTATAAAGACCTTAGAAGGGTCTGGCACATAGTAAACACTATATAAGTGTTAAATAAGCGTGGAGAGCAGGTCTGTTACCAACATCATTTCTTGATCTGGGGACAGTTGTAGAAGGCCAGCAATATCTAGCTAATAGGAGGGAGTTTTGTGTTCTTTTAAAGGGAATCCTACTCCTAGCGTCAATGTGAATAAAGAGAATAAACCTTCCATCTATATAATATCAAAAAACAATGATCACATTTGATTCTCATTAGAAATGGATAAAACAAACATTATCTCCATTTCATGGGAGACAAAACTGAATCCTGGTAGCAACTCAACCAAATGGATCCAAAACACAACACTTAATTTCCAGTCCTCCCCTGGCCCCCAACTGCTTCTCCCTCAGTCATTCCCATCTCAACAAATGGCACTGCCAGCCCAACTGACCAAAACCTTGGAGCCATGCAGGACTTCTCTCTGTCATAGCTCTACAACCAGGCCTCCATAGATCCTGTCTGCTCTCTGCTTTAAAAGTGTGTCCAGAGTCCATGGTGAGAATTCCTAGTCACCATTATCACTGTTTGGACCACAGCATTCACCTTTTCACTGCTCTACCTGCTTCTATTCGTTTCCTTATAGCCCACGTTCTCTAATCAGCAGCCAATGATCATTTAAAAGATAAGCCCAGCCTGGCCGGCGTGGCCCAGTGGTTGAACGACAATCTGAACTAGGAGCTCACGGTTCAATTCCCAGCCAGGGCACATGCCTGAGTTGCGGGCTCGATCCCCAGGGTGGGGCATGCAGGAGGCGCTGATCAATGATTCTCTCTCATCATTGATGTTTCTATCTCTCCCTCTCCTTTCCTCTCTAAAAATATATTTTAAAACATAAATAAATAAAAGATAAGTCCAATCAGGCCCCACTAGGCTCCACACCTACCAGTGAATACACCCAAAGTACTCAGGCTGGCCTGAAAGGCTCTGTCTGACCTCAACTTCCACCTCAAATATCTTATCACCTCCCGCTTTCCACCCCTCATGCCCTGTACAGGCTGAGCCTGTTCTTGTCTCAGGGCCTTTGCACTTGATGTTTCCTCTACCTGATCCCACCCCTCCAGCCCTACCCACCTATCCATGTGGCTCACTCACTCACTTTACTTGAGTCTCTACTCAGATGTCCTCCTCATATGGCCTTGCCTTACTATCCCATCTAAAATGGTACCTGTGTCACATCTCATCCTTTTGTCTAGCTGTAGTTTTCTTTATAGCTCCTTTCACTACCTCACATTATTTTATACTAGTGTCTGGGTGCACAGATTCGTGCACAGTGAAAGGAAATTAATTAGAAGGTGGCCAGCAGGGCAGGAGTGGGCGAGACAGGCTGGACACGCCCTGGAGCCAACCTCCCATGGTCCCTCCCCAGCAGTGGCACTATGGCACAAAGGGTGTCAGTGGAGTGAGAGGGATCCCTCTGGCAGGTGGGGTCTCTCAGCTTGGCCTGTGGGAATTAGGCAGAAACTGGCTCTCCGACATCCCCCAAGAGATCCCAGATTGCGAGAGGGTGGTTCTCGGGTGATGCACCCCAAAATTGGGCTCCCTCCTCTCTGGTTCCAGGGTGTGTCACCCAAGAACCACCATTGCCAAGTCACTGCAGCTTGGCAGCTTTTGCATTGAGCATCTGCCCCCTCGTGGTCAGTGCATGTCATAGCTACCAGTCGGACAGTCCAATGGTTGCTTATCCTTTTATATATATAGACTAGTGGCCCAGTGCACAAAATTTGTGCACATTAAAAGGGAATTAATTAGAGGAAATATTTTAATATTGCTATTTGCCCTTTCTCTATAATAGAAGTGTGAGAGATGAAAGGAAATTAGTAAAATATATATGAAAATAATATATAAGTTTATTAATAAATAAACAGTAACAAAAGGATTTAACAAAAGAGGCATGATATAAAAACAAAAACATGATATGAAAACAACAAAAACATATAAAAACAATAAAAACACGATATAAAAATACTTCAGCTTTGATAATGTTAGGCTGTAATCTTTTGATAATAAATCAGGTACCATTACAAAGACCCCATTTACTATTAAGATTTCTCAATAGCATGATGATTGCACCCACTTTCAATTTTAATTTATGACACGGCATTCCCAAAGGCGTAATACTATTAAGAAATTCAATGGGAAAATTTTCCTTTTCAGCATCATCAGTTGAGTCGATGGAATCACCACTCGAACATGTGTGAAAATCTCCATCGAGTATACCCAATATGTCTTCATTTAATTTTTGAACGTGCTCATTTTTTGGACAAAGAATCACATGTTTAGATATATTTTTAATATTATCTATAGATATACTATTTCCAAAGGTAGCTTCAATAATAGATCCATTACAAATCATTTCACAGGGAATTTCAATAATATCCATTCCTAAATGAAAGCTGCTATCAAGTTTGCCATAAAGATTTTAGCAACTTCACTTTTTATATCGAGTCTAGAAATTGAAGTTTCATTTAATGGAATTGGTAATTTATATTGGGAATGAAAGGTTCTTCCACTGGGAAGTAAATTTGCAGCAATTCCTGTAGATGCTGTGGGTAAAACAGTACCACCACAACCTCTAATATAATGTATTAAAACTTTATAAAGATATGCCTCCATGCTCCGAGGGCCAGTTCCTGCCTCAAACCTCACCCTCTCGGGAAACAGCTCAGGGAGGGAGCAACCCTTGGCAAGGTGACCCAGGACTCAGTGTGTCCATGCTCCGAGGGCCGGTTCCTACTTCAAACCTCGCCTTCACAAGAAACAGCTCAGGGAGGGCACAGCTGTTGCCAAGGCGACCACTGCAGGACTGACTTCC